TTAAAGACATGTATTGATCTTATTTTCTCTAAAAGACATGTATTTCATCTTAACATTCTAATAGTCTTTGCACAGTAAGTTGAATCATATTAGTGGTATGTAAAATTTTATTATTTCCCAAACAGAATGGTTACACGTAGAGGTAGAGCAACGGACCTCAGGAAGAATCTGATAACAGTAACAGTAGCACTAGTAATCTAGAGAAGAGAGTGTTCTTTCTGATTAATTTTTATTATTCCTTGTAAGTCTTATCAATGATTAACTGGCCAACTCAAGGAAAATGATAATGAAATCAGCAAGTACAAAGGCATATATATAGTGTTCTTTAAAGGGGGAAAGGTCAGATCCTAGGCATTGCAAATGAACGAATATATTGATCTATCTGTCACCTAGTGATTCAAGATCACTGTGATGGGAGCATTTAGGAGACTGACAAACCAAGCCAGTCTCAAACTTTAAAACAGCTCTTTACTGGATTGATGTTCATAAACAATACACACTGCTAACAGTTAGTTCTTAATCACTGTCATTCATTATCACCACACACCCAAAACAATTAGTCCTTAAAAAACTCATCCTAAATAAACTGTGAGCATACAATACAGTGGAGCCGGATGCTGTGTATTTAGCATTGACGGCTATGCTCCTTGGTGGTCCTTAGTCACCAGGGCCAAGGTGATCAGGCTTGAGAGCTCCTTGCGAGGGAAGCCAGAGCCGAAGTAGGTTGCGTTCTTTCCTCCCCGTCCTCCTTCACTCACAGTTGAGGAGTTATGCTCCTCTGCCCCTCCCCGAAAGAAAGGAAATAATCTCTTCCGCTCTTGACAACTTACTTTCGGGATCAAGACATGTTCTGGCTTTGCTTATTCTGCAGGATTATTCTGGCCCCAAAAGATATTCTTCTTGCCTGCTCCCTTGCTCTGCGGGATTATTTTTGTTTTACCACATATCTTTCCCACCTGCTTTGGTGCTCGGTTCTTTGATGACAAGCATCCAAGTATCGTTTCTTAGATCAGCTTGATTTTGTCTCGGTTTAGCAAGGCTTTAAGAAAACGGCCTGAAAGGGCAATTTGGTCAGCCTCACTTCAGTTGCTCAGAAAAATCACGGAGCCAGGTTTCCTGGAACATATTTCTGGCCATATGAAGGAGAAGAAAATGATTGGGAACAGTCAGCATGGGCATACAGGTTCTAGCAAACCTGTAGTCATCAATTTAAGTAAGATGGCTGAAAACTGCTAGTATTCTCACCTATTCACCTTGCCTCGGTGACAGACGTGACCACTTCCTATGGTAGAGATCTCCTACGGCAGCCAACACTTAAATGTAAACTGAAATAAAAGCAATGTGTCTAAACGAAAACAGCAAAGAGCAGAGGGCTAATCTTTAGGCAGATCATGTCTGCCGCAGATGTGGGGTGGATACTTAGTAAGATAACAGCACCTGCCACCTCCTTTTAATCCATACCTGCACATCTGTCAAAGCCTTCAACACTTGAATATTGTGTGCCGCTCTCCCATGAAATCCACAGCCCTCAAACAGATGTCCTGGCTCCTCATACAGCTTTGAGTCGGGAATTCACAGACTCCACAAGCTAAGCGGGGAGTCACCAAGCTCAGGCTAGAGGGTTGCAGAGCGGCATCTCAGCTGTGATGTCTCTTGTGGCATTAGGCACTTAATCTAGATTAGCCCCTTTTTTTTTCCGGAGCAAAACAGGGATGTAGGCCCCACTCCATTTCAGGTTCATTCCCTCCCTTGTGGGATTGGAAATCGGTTTTCCTATTTCCTGGCTCTGCTTGATTCACCACAGGAACTGAAAATGAGAATACCGATGGGGGTCTTCTCTGATGTCTTCTTCTGAAGCTGTTTTACTTTGTAAAAATAACTGAGTATTTCCTGGAGCAGCATTTAAAGCTGATATTCCCGCAGCCAGCGTGAGTGTTTTAGTCAGGAGAATTTCATGTTGGTCTTGCATTTTGTCTCTCTGGGGCAAAGAGTGCTTAAATGACGTATAAAGTGGAACACCTCCAACTCTGAGACTCACCCTTGCGTATCCAAGAGGTGGCAGATACACAGAGGGAGCACGTGAGACGCTCGCACTTGCATCTGGAGACCGGAGTCCGCTATTTCAGCTCTAAATCATGCCTCATGGGAACCTGAAACCGAACCTCCTACTTTCCCCGAGCCAAAAGTCTTGCTGCGATGGGCGTCCTGGGTTGTGCCCCGTGGGGCAGGCCTGACAGAGAGGGGAACTCTCTGGAGACTTGCGTGAGCGTTCGGCCAAGTCCGCGTCAACCCTCCGTGTAGCCGAGCAGCTCGGCAGCGCCTGGCTGAGGGTGTTCGTGCTGTGCAGAGTCCACCTTGCTGGGTTTTTGGTTTAGGTTGGGTTGGGCTTTTTTTTAACATCGATTTTGATACAAAGCGATTTAACGTTAGGACGTTTTAACCTTCCCAGTTTGGGAGTCGCAGCGGAGAAAGACCTAAGCGAAGCAGGTTATCCGGGACCGGAGAGGCCCACCCGCGGGGCGTGAAGAAGCGCTTTTATACCTAGCAGGGGCTCAGGGGCAGGCACAGGGCACTGCGCTGGGACAGGAAAGCGCGGCCG